ACCTGCATGCCTGTGTGGTCTCTAAAATGGCAACCCCAGATCACTACACCTTAAGCCAGGCAGAGTAGATGCACAGACCAATGATTTTGGGTGACTGACTTCAGGCCAACTACATTTCCCATGATGCATGACTTTCTCCCTTCTTGGTGCAGGGAGGACATACATCAGAGGTGTCACTGGCTGTCTTGACAGATGTAGCCTGGTTAGTCTGTCCTGCTCATGCAGGGAAACTGGACCATACAGAACCTGAACTAAACTCCCATGAATTATAAATGGAAACATTTCAGTTTTCAGCCAAATTTTGTTTTTTGTTTTTCATGCATCAAAATTTTCCATGGAAAGCAGACACTTTTCAGGAAAGTTTTCATTTAGTCAAAAAACTATTTTCTGTCACTCACATTCCTTTCTTTCATATCTAAGCCGATATGAAAGTTCTAATTTAAGGGAAGGGGGGGCATAAAAGAATATATAAATATTCAAGATCTGACATATTTTTGACTAGAACAACTCCCTTGGAGCCTCGACAGTCTGTCATGCAAACAGGAGATTACAGCATTTTTTTTAAACCATATATCATGCACTTGATAGCACCAAATTGCTCCAAAGGTGAATAAATATTTATACACATTTATAACCCACAGTATTATATCATTCACTGACAGACTTCTAGGGAGTAGAGGGGAAGATATTACAGTATTTAATGGTTCCAATAGGCTCTCTTGTTTTGACACATGATAAAACTCTTTAGGAAATTTCTTAGGAAGATACTACTGAGCATCGCCTGTTTATAAAGCTCAGTAACTAGGTGGTTTTGTCTTTGTCTGCCACATAACCTCACCCCAGACACAATGTAAAGATATCTTAATATGGGTGAAACAATTACCAAATTTGTTTTAACTCAGATTTGGTTTCATGACAAGCACAATGGATGCTTTCCCAGCTGGTGCTGATTTTGCCCTCTTATTTTTACATCCCCATCTAGATTTATTATCTGTTTTTAATTAACTAATAAATAAAAACAAATAATTTGGGGCTATCAATTCAAAATGAAGCTCTTTGGTCAAAGTTCTAAGACTCCAGGGTGGGATTTTGTGCCAAGCCCCACAGAGGCAGCACTCACAGCACAGTGAGAAAGGGGATTAAGGCAGCTTTAAGCTTTAAACCCTTCCAATCCTGGGGTGCTCCAGGGGCTACAGTAGCCCCCAGAGGAATTTAGATAGCCCAGGGTGGAGGGGGGCATTTGTCTAAGTTATGGCAGCCTTCCCTGACTGCCCTGTCTCCACAGCCTTGCATGCTGGGGTCCTGTCTCAAAATATACTCCCCATACCCACCTCCCTACACCAAAGCAAGAGGACATATTCCACACCATCTGAAGAGATGGGGCAGCAAGCATTCTCACTCTACGGGCCAAGGAAGTAGTATTCCTCGCCGACTTTCCCTGGGCTACTTTGACTCTGTACAATTTCCAATCCAGAACTGCATCTGAATGGCATGGTTGAGCCCTCTGGCTGGAACCTGTGTTTTGTGGGCAAGTGGTTAACTCTGAATTCTCGAAACAAAGTCTGAACCTTGGCTGATCCTGGAGAGGTTAGAAATGAGCATCTGGCAGCTCATCATTCACCTGCCCACTCTGAACCGCTGCAAACATTTCCAAATCTCTCAGATTTGCACAAGGGACACATGGTTTCCACAATGGGCGCACAATCACAGGGCAATGCCTTTCAGCTTCCAGTGCGTCACTCGTTCTGCTGACTGCTAAAGAGCTATTGATTCACTTCATGCCCCTTGTCGAAAATTGTATTCCAAAGCAGAGGGCATAAGGATTCAGTAGAGGCCTAAGGGAATCAGATTTTTTAAATGTCCAGGAGAACTATTCAGATAGATTTTCCAGAGCTCTGACATTGTCTATTACAACGTAGGGAAGTTTTCCTTGCATCAGAGTGATAGGTCTGAGCATCCCACTCACCCATTTAGCATCTCAGGAACATTTCTGCTGTTTTTTGAATAGTTCTATAGAAAGAAGGGGAAAAAAAATACTCCAGAGTAACACAAATACGGAGAACTTATGCAAACATTGGCAATGGGGCACACACTAGGACAGAACATTCAGGGAGAGAAAAAGCAAACCAGTGACAATACTGAAAACAAAATCATGATTAAGTGACTATGGGGAATAGGACAATTTATTCAGGGTTCCAGCCTTTTCTATTTACTGTCGTTGAGTTCTCCTTAAGAAGGTACACGCTTGATCAACTGCAAGGAGTTTGGCCAAAATACACAAGCTTGATCCCCAGTTGCCAAGATTTCACAATATTAAAACTTAAATCCAGCTTTTGGCTAATCATAACTCCTGGATTCTGTTTGGGCAATTCATTTAAGTGTTAGACCATTCAGAACCATTTCCAAGAATAGAATCAGTTAATCTTACAATACCACACAGCATTTGACTGGTTGGATAATATCTGTCATGATACATTTTAGCATCAACAAACTAAAAATGTTGAACATGCTTCAAGGGAACTCAAAAACACATCTGAGAGTTGCCCAGCTACAGTTATTGGGAAGCCTGGGGATACAAACCTGTTCATATCTGTGTGGGGATGGGGGGGGGGGCTGTCTGCTGTGCGTGACTTGACTGAGAGTCTGAATTATTCCTCAACTAAACAAAAGAAACATTACAAATAAAATTATATTAGAAATGTGGCTTACTAGTTAGAGCAGGAGAACTGAGAATCAGATTCTTCAGTGCTACATCCAACTCTTTCACTAACTCACTTTCTTCTAGCCCGATGGTTCAGGCACTAGGGTGGGACTCAGGATATTTAGGTTTAACTCCCGGCTCTGTTATAGACCTCCAGTGTAATTCTGGGAGAGTCACTTAATCTCTCTTCGTCCCTGGGTTCCCCCTCTGTAACGAGGGGATAATAATAGTTTCTTTCTGCCACCCTTTGTTCCTCTGGTCTCTTTTGGTGTCAAGCTCTTCAGAGCAGGAACTTATTACGTATATGTACAGCAACTAGCACAGTGATGCCCTGATATCATCTTGGGCCTCTAGATGCTTTTGTAAATAAACAACTAAGTCGCTAACTACAGAACTAATAACCACCTCCACAATAAGAAAAGGAGGACTTGTGGCACCTTAGAGACTAACCAATTTATTTGAGCATAAGCTTTCGTGAGCTACAGCTCACTTCATCGGATGCAATAAACAAACTATGCATCCGATGAAGTGAGCTGTAGCTCATGAAAGCTTATGCTCAAATAAATTGGTTAGTCTCTAAGGTGCCACAAGTACTCCTTTTCTTTTTGCGAATACGGACTAACACGGCTGTTACTCTGACACCTCCACAATGACAGTCATGTGACCCTGCACAAGTTACTTAACCCCTCTTCCCCCCCATGCCTCATTTCTCTCATCTGTTAAATAGCTATAATAATTCAGGAGTGTTCTGGGGCTTTAATAAGCTCTTTGGATAAGACACTAAAAAAAGCAAAGTATTAGAGTGACTGCCATTCTAGAATCTGATTCCGACTTCTGTGGAGTTACATTGAGTTTGTCACTGACTTATTGAAAGCAAAATTTGATTAATACTTCTTATAATATTAATATAGCATCTACTCCTGAAAAGATAGCAAGATACGTTATGAATCATTCATTTTCTGAAAACCTTGATGTGCTGTTTAGTACTGATTAAAATTCCTTTAAATTGGGTCACTATTTGCCAGTTGATTTGTATTGTGTTTCCGTTAGCAACAAATTCTGTGCTGTTCTCATGAGTATGTTGTACCCATTTGCAAACCTGTCAGCAGTCTCATGGCAAAGCCACTATCTGAAACAACAGCAAACTCATCATTCATACCCATTAACACAGAAGTCAGACACACTACTTCATAGTCAATGCATCCGTGCTATCAGGTCTGACAAAGAACTCTGTATGTCCCACTAGGGATCATATTTCCCGGTAAGCCAATTTCAGAAATAAGGTTAGTGAGGAGACAGATTTGGCCAAGAGAGTCCTTGCCTCGCCAACTGGCATTGGACAAGTTCTGTGAAACCATTCAGTACTGTGAGTAGGAAGCAAAAAGCCTATCCCCTGCTGATAGGAATGGTTATATATTGACAGTGAAAAAAGCATATAATCATTAACTCTTTGAACAAAGAAGTCAAGTAAATACAATGAGCAACTGTAGATAAGGATATTCATCCTCCACTCTCTTTCTCCCAAGTTCTTGATCCCATTCTGTTTCTTCTCAAACCAGACCCAACTTTGCAGCCAGGTGAGGAAAGAGCATCATGTGCATCATGGAACATAAGTGCAGGGGACGCACTGCTTCCCAGTCACTAGCAGAATACATGTTCGGGGACCAGCTGGGAAGCAGAAGAGATTGGGACTTGCTCCAGGCAGGAATCCCAACTTATCACATATCTCTGCTGCTGTAAATCCTCCCTGATCCACCCCATGTGATTCGCCACCCCAACCCTAAACAGTCATGTCTCAGATGTCCTCTGTCTTGAAACTGAATCAAAGAAATTAGAGATAGAAAAGACCTATCACTCATCTTTTAGCCTATGTACCACTTGGCCAGTATAGGAGTGTTCTATGGAGCATGTCTGTAAGTGCTTTTCCTGCCCAGTTATTTAAGGGCTATAATACCAGTGGGATGAGAATTAAGTACAGCACATATTGATTCCTACTGACTGCAGTGTCTTTCATCCCACATTCCGTTTCAGTTAAAAAAGAAAAAGAATGAAAGAAATATGAACACAACATTTCCAAGAGCAAACTCTGAATTTTGCAACAGAGCTTAGATACTTGAGCAAAATGGTCCCAATTCTTCTCCGGCCACCCGCCACCTTATATTGTGTGGCTGAAAGTGAGATATAAAAAAGGGCTGAATTTGGATCTCTGTCTTCAAAAAGTATTTCAATCCATACAAGTGGCTGAACTGGTTTGTGCTCAGTTTTGACCACCCAGATTTACTCCGTTGTTTACTCTTACCTTCAGGGGTACAACTTGCATCAGAATGGCAAAGTTGGTGAGGTGGTTACACAGGCAGATGGAATAGTTGAGGTCCCCGCTATCACGCACGCAGCCTTCATTAGACCACATGGCACTTCCATTGCTGCAAAGCACACAGGAAATGGAGAGAGATCCCTATTAAAATTGACTCTCGTGGCACTAATTAGACATGAATTTCATTAAACAGAAGATTTATTTTTCTTAAACAAATTCTTTTCTAAAGTTTAGCTACCAAGAATCAACCAGGCAAATATCTGCACAAAGACCAGAGGTTTCCTTTGACAGGTCCATTTATAAACTTTGACAAAGCAGTTGTAACACTAAACATGCAGGTTAAGTCTACATTTCTGCTGCAAATGTAAAGATCATTTTAAAAGGGAAAGAAATAACCATATGCAGCCATCAGCAGAAAGAATGAAGCACGTCACAACAACTTTTCAATGCAACTTTCAAACATTAAAACACTCCAGAAAGATACAACACAAGAAAGAAAATAGCAGCCTAGAACTAAATGGTTTGCCTGGTATTCTTTATCTGAGCACTGAAGTTGGTGTGCTGATCATGGAAGTTAGTAATCAACATTCATATTACCCAGGACCCTAATTACATCTAAACCAAAGTACATGCTCTCAGCACTCATGTTCCAATTTCAGTACATCAGAAAGTCCAAAGTTACTGACAGTTACCGCTGAGATAGAGCAGCTTCTCCTTACACTTAGCACAGGAAATAATTGTGGTTTCTGACATACTGTGGAACAGTAACTGATAGTAAATGCTGACTGTTTAATGGTGATGGCAGCAAATCACAGTAAACCATATTGCATGGTGTGTTTCTAAGCCTGCAATGATGAGTGGTTTGCAGCACTCAGAGTGGCAAATGATTGTGTGTAGTAAAATATATTAGTCTGGGTGGCAAACAGCTGTGTGTAGTAAAATAATAATAATAATACTACCAAGGACCAGTTTTTTACCAGCCTCACTCTCCTTGAACACTCCCATTGGTTTCAGTGGAATCACCCACAACTCAACATTCAAGTAAGCTGGGCAATATCAAGTCTGAAAAAACTATTGTGGGCTAACAACAATAGAGAGAGAGAGAGGGTCAAATTCAGCATTTAGTTACCTCTTTTCACTGGATCTATGCCAATTTGCTGGCCCATTGGCTTCCATGGAGCTATGCCAATATAAACAATATAAAGATCTGGCTCATTGACTTCAATACAACTATGCCAATTTACACTAGCTGAAGACCTGGCCCGTTGACTTCAACAGAGCTACACAGAATTATACCAGCTGGGGATTGTATCGATATTGTTCCTATTATACAAATGCCAAATGACTCCTTTTATTGGAGTAATACATCTGAGAAAGAGAGTGTGTTGAGGTAAATAAACCTCTCATTTTGGAAGGAGGGACTTTCACGATCGTCTTTCATCCTCAGACAACGCCTCCAGGGCCTAATCCCCCAGAGCACGTACTGTGGGAATGATGCCCTGAAGCATATTGACTAGCTTTAGTAAAACATGTTTCTAATTTATTATAATTTGTGAGTAAGCGGACAAGCTAGTGACTACAGCTGGGACAGCTCAATGCAATCACAGTGAAACTTTAATAAAACAGGCACGCTGATCTTGCCCAAAGGCGAATTGGAGAGGCGGTATCACAAAATTGCTTGCCAGTGCTGCACGGCGTAGTGCTTGGAATACCATGACTCAGAAATGTGACAGTCCCGGCTCAGGGCTCATTTTGACTTGTTCCACAATTAATTCAGTATCAACAGCATGTTTAGAAATCGCCAATGCATCAGATATACTATTCCTGGCTACCCGAAGCGAGCAGAAAAATAGCCACTCTTTGTGGATATTTGCTGTTTACACAGTGCAACTTAAGGCGCACTTTTGCCCTGCTTTGCATTCAGTGGCATTTGATTTCATCATTGAATATGTACCAGACATGACTCACTGCTCTGAAATGCATACGATACACCTCATTCTGATCTCCTTTGTACGCAATGTGAATCAGGAGGAACTCCAGTGGAAACAATTACCTCAGTAGAGCTATGCCGATTTACAACACTCATGTTTCCGGACGAACTGAGTTATGCTTGCAAAAGACCAATACAAGTGCAACCAGAATCAATCCTTATGTGTTCATCTCAATGTTTTTCATTCTCTCAATAATCTGCTTTATCCCGAAATCAGTGAATAGAATGAGAACTTCCCCACCTACAATAAGAGGAAGCTGTTTTCTCTTCCTCTTTCCTCTGACTATGAAGCTATTTTTGTGGTAAACCCTGTGGTTTCATTGCTTTAATAATTCCCATGAACACAAGAAAAAGGGAATATTTGTCAGGTCTGGCATGCATTGATGATGTCACATTCGCCATAGGTAACCAGTAACAATACATCCAAGAAAGACATTTAGAAGCACTTAACATACCTATAATCCAGAAATGCACAATACAGGTTAACTTTGTGGCTTTCATTCACTGCTTGGCTGTACTGCTGAGGAGTCTGAAAGAAAAAAAAAATACACATCCTGAAGAAGAAAAATTTAAAAAGAGATGCCAACGTAAAAAAGGCCACATTCTGCTCTCTGTTTAACCAGTGTCAGTCATGATTATTCCATTGACTTCACCAGAAGTATTACAGATTAACACCAGTGTAACTAAAAGCAGACTGTAGCCAATTATATTTGATTCTTTCTGCTACACACATAGGCCCCAACCATGCAAAGACTTACACACATGCTAACTTTATGCACCATGACTAGGTCCATTGGGTGAAACCCTAATCCCACTCAAGTCAACGGTAAAATTCCCATTGACTTCAATGGGGCCATCATTCCACCTGTTGACTTCAATAAGACCACTCACTGTGCACAAAGTTAAGCATGTGTGTTAGTCTTTGCAAATTTAGGACCTTATTCTTCAACATACCTTTTGGATAGCTGACAAGAAAGCCAAATGTAACAAAAATTGACATTTTAGGATCAGTCTCACTGACATGTACACTACAATGATCAGCAAACATTTTATTTTCAGAATGGTAATTATTACTACACATATAATCCAACTAAAAAAGCAATGCCAGCCTCCAAGCTTTAGTTTTAAGCGAGTTTGGCATTTATACAGGGCCTTAATTCTCAACTCCTGCAAACAGATTAGTTGCTTTCTCAATCCTCTCCATTCAGAAAGGCTTGGGGCCACATTCTCTACTCTGTTACACCAGTGTAACTCCATTCAATTGCAGTGGAGTAGAGAATCAGGCAAAATATCCTACCCAGAAGAATTTCAAAAGCCTGTTCCATCCTCTCCTTTTGACACTGATACACTAACATCCACCTGCATCCAGAGCTACATTAATGACATTCAGCACTGCACTTATGTATTGGACCCCATCTCAGGACTATTCTTCATTTCAGGAGTCACCGCCATTAAAAAAAATGACTGGAAAATTACCAACGCTCAGATCATTACAACAGAAGACCAATAGTGCTATCAACCAGAAAATAAGCAAGTGCTGCTCTCCTTGTTCAGCATTTAAAATAAATTTACACAGAGCTAAAACTAAAGTTCATACAAGAAAGTTGAATCAGAGATTTCTGTCTTCTCTCCCACAAGAGCAACCATGAAGTGTCAGGCACAGGGCAACACAGTTACCTCCTCACCAGCTGATAACAAAACTTCCTGTCTCAGTCAGGAGACTCTCAGCTGAATTTCCACACATTTCTAGGTTATACAGCTTCCAAATTTCCACCCAACAGATAAGCTCCGTTACCAAATTGCTCTTGCCCCACATTCTCTGTTCTTGTGGAGAACTTAAAAGGAACCTTCCTTTCTGTTTGAAAGATGCCTACTATGCTCTCCAGTGATTTGACAGGTCCTAAATACAATGGTTCCTCTAAGTTAGTGCCATGGTAGGCAAAGAACCTCAGTCGAGCAGTAAAGTGCTATATAAGTGCTAGAGGTTATTATTAATGACTCTCAAGAGTCAACGGTCATCAAAAATGGTGTGCAGATAGAGACGAGGTGGCTTAAAAAAATAAAATATTTGCTATAACTGCAGATAAGATCAGACAATAACAATCATCATCTGTTTACAAAATGCAAGTCTCTGCTATTAAAACAATAATCTATCCAACCTGTAAAAGGTTGGTTACAATAGGGAGAAAGTTCTCAACTGCATACATCAATTTTCAATAATTCCCCATCAAGAAAAATAAATAACCACCAATCCATGAGAAGCAATTTGACTTGCGTTTCAATAATTTATTTCTTAAATTTAACTGAGTGCGATGACTTAGATCGTGACCTGGATCCTGTGGCAGTAAGAATATTTGATTTAATAACATTGATATCAGAAAATTTAATATGCAAGCAGGCTTTTTTGTTAGCAGATTAAGTCACTTGCATGTTTATAAAAACTTGTGAAAGGGAAGTTCGTGTAGATCCCAGTGGCTTGGAGGGAGCATCCTGGCACACCAGGAACCTTAGTTCTGGAAACAAGAAATTCCTGGGACTCTGATACATGCTGCAGCTGGCAGTCTAGGACCTTGGCAGAGTGTGACAGTCGAGTGTCTGCTCTATAAGCAACTCAGCATATTAATTTACGGAGAAACATTACCACTGGTCTTGAAAATGGTCAACTGTCTTCTCTCCTGGACAGAGAATGAGTGCAGCAAGGCTGTCTTACCTTCTAGAGCAGGGTTTCTATCTTACCTTCTAGAGCAGGACCCAAAATTGGGTTGCCAGAATGTTTCAAAGGGTCACATGACAGCTTCTGTGGTTCCTGTCCCACAGGGCTGGCTGGGCTCGCCTCCCTGCTCCAGTCACTGCAACCTCTGGGGTCCCACTCAGATTTGGCCCAGCTGTCATGATGACGGGAGTCCAGATAGAACAAATTTGAGCGAGTGGCATTACCACCCCATAAGCCAGGTTACAATTCCACTCACACAAACTTGGTCCGGTCAGGGCCAAACCTGAGTAGCACCACAACCCCGGAGGTTGCAACACCCAGAGCAACGAGCCAAGCCCAGGCAGCCCCACAGCCCAGGAGCTAGAGCAGCTGCCACTATGGGGTGAGTGTCAGGCAGGATCTAACCCGCCCAGGGGGCCGGACCCAACCAAAACCACTCCAACGCCTCCACTCCCCAGACTATTCACTATTCACAGGCCATAAACATTTACAAATGGGCCCTGAGCCCTAAAAGGTTGAGAACCAGAATTCTAGAGGCAGGGAGTGGAAGTGGCATGAAGAATGGTTCCTTTAAAGTGAAATCATGGATGAAGTGAGGGTTTACGTCATCTGCACTGAGCGAGTGAGCGTCAGACTTTGGGCTAGACAGTCCTTGGCCTTTATATTTTGTACTGGAAAGAATGCAATAAGACTTTCCCCCTTGTGCCCATGTGCAACAGCTAGAGATATCAGGCAGCTCAGGGAGGGACTGCCTCACAGGAAACTATCCCTCTGCAAGCGCGGCCTGGAGCAGTGTTGCCGTACAGCAACCCTAACATGAGTTAGTGGTCTTTGGTAAATTCTTATCACTTAAAGACTGACAACTAAGTCACAAAAAACATTGTGTCTGTGGAGATGGCTTGGAGGGAGGAGGAGGAGGGAGGTCTAGGGTAATTAGAATGCTAGAATGCTAGGATGTAGGCATGAGGCTTAGGTTCATAGAATATCAGGGTTGGAAGGGACCTCAGGAGGTCATCTAGTCCAACCCCCTGCTCAAAGCAGGACCAATCCCCAATTAAATCCCCCAGGTTGTTGGGGGGCAGGCTAAAAGGCTAACATGAATGCTGGGTACCTTCTGGAAAATGTGTTTGCAGAAGACCTCAGTACTAGACAACTGAAAAAAGAATAGAGCCAGCCAGTTGTCTGCTTTGGAGAATTGCCAACGAAGGGGAGCCAAACAAGGGGTAGGCAGACAGTTTGTGAGAATAAATTTCTCTTTTTTTCCTTTATTTTGAAGAGCAAACACGTACCAAGCTGAGTTATGGTGGCCACAAAGCAAGGAGGAGACGGCCTCCCCCTTCTGTACTTTTACTCCTGTATTAAAGAAAGGAAATTAGTGGGCCAGATCCTCAGATGGTGTAAATGAGGATAACCTCAGCCCAAGCAAACTGAGCTAGGTGATCAGTTAGTGTAATTGGGTGTAGCTCCCTGTAGTTTTAATGGACCTGTGCCCATTTACACCAATGAAATATCTGGCCCATTGAGTTCCATTTGGAGCTCACTCATCCCTGCTTACAAAGCACAGCATTTCCTCCAGTTTGTGGATTTCCTGTGTTCCTCACAACGTTCTCATCTATCACCAGTACCTTCACATGACCACTTCCTTCTCCTCCACATAACCACCTGTAATAACATTTTCCTTCACATTCTTTCTATTGCCCAGAAAAATAGGAATCTCAGGCTGCACATATCCACCCATTGCACCAACAGTGCAACAAAGCATTCAGAATAATCCTCCAGCCATTGGCTGGCTACATTCTTTCCAGATCTGAGATGGTTTAGAACTGAGAGATGCACAGTGTATCAGAATCTGGGCTGAGACCACCAAGCTAAATGGATTTACAACATATTTGACTGATTCATCCTTAGAAATAAGCTGAACACATACTGGAAAAATTAGATCCACCCAATGAAATGTTTGTAGGGTCTCTTCTACAGTTGAGATTAATTTATTAAACACTAAGTGCCTTGCATAATGACAGGTTTCAGAGTAGCAGCCGTGTTAGTCTGTATTTGCAAAAAGGAAAGGAGGACTTGTGGCACCTTAGAGACTAACCAATTTATTTGAGCATAAGCTTTCGTGAGCTACAGCTCACTTCATCGGATGCATACTGTGGAAAGTGTAGAAGATCTTTTTATATACACACAAAGCATGAAAAAATACCTCCTCCCACCCCACTCTCCTGCTGGTAATAGCTTATCTAAAGTGATCACTCTCCTTACAATGTGTATGATAATCAAGTTGGGCCATTTCCAGCACAAATCCAGGTTTTCTCACACACCCCCTCCCCCGAGATGTTCTTGTTAAACCCTGGATTTGTGCTGGAAATGGCCCACCTTGATTATCATACACATTGTAAGGAGAGTGGTCACTTTAGATAAGCTATTACCAGCAGGAGAGTGGGTTTGTGTGTGTGTGGGGGGGGGGGGGTGAGAAAACCTGGGTTTGTGCTGGAAATGGCCCAACTTGATTATCATACACATTGTAAGGAGAGTGATCACTTTAGATAAGCTATTACCAGCAGGAGAGTGGGGTGGGAGGAGGTATTTTTTCATGCTTTTTGTGTATATAAAAAGATCTTCTACACTTTCCACAGCATGCATCCGATGAAGTGAGCTGTAGCTCACGAAAGCTTATGCTCAAATAAATTGGTTAGTCTCTAAGGTGCCACAAGTACTCCTTTTCTTTTTACTAAACACTAGGACTTAAAGTTCAGCTCATGTAAATCAGCACAACTCCATTGGCATTGATGCAGCTATTACACCAATGCATACCA